GTTTTGAATGTAAAATTGATTTTTAGTATAATATAAAAATAAAAAATAGACATTTGATTTGATGTTTTTGGGGAAAAAAATTGGATGAATAATAGATTTAAAATTCAATCCCTCAAACAAACACACCCTAAACGTACTCTTGTCTTTTTCTAATTATATTGTCTATCTTGATGTTAAAATTATTGCCTCTTCATTCTAACGAAAATATAATTATTTATTTTTTATACGTGAATTTTAATATTTTATAAATAATAATATAATAAATTAAAAGATAAAAAATAACTTATTCTAAAAATCTTTTATTTTATAATGATATTATTTATAATATTTGTAAAAGATAAGAGTATTTAGAGTTTTTTTTTTCCTCAAAATACCTAATATATTTTTCTAAGAAAATTAATATATTATACATATTTATTATTTTTATATTATATAAAAAATTTACTATATCTTACAAAAAAGAAAAAATTCCTATAAACCAAAATACAAAACAAACAAAATTAAAATAACAAAATGATTATATTAGTTGTGGATATAACGAGTTATTATAATTTAAAATATATTTTAGTCTATGAGATGACTATGTTAATTTTTTGTGTATGTATAATCTATTTATAATAAATTATTTTATTTAATCATAATTTTATTATTTATAAATTAACAAATAATAATAAATTTATCATTTTTTTTTTTGTTAATTTTCGTAAATTTTCAATATAATCTTATTTTATTTTATTTATATATTTTACTTTTATATTAAAATTAATTAATACTCTTTTTATTCAGCTAAAATGTATATATTTATCTTTGGTGTGAATTTTAACTAATAATAATATTTTTAATTGAAAATAAAAAATAACAAACTTTCAATTGGACAGAGTGAATACATAATTAAAAATATGTAAAAATATTTTTGTTTGTTTTTTTTTTATAAAAATAATAATATAATGATAAAAATAGAAGTATTTTACAGAAAAAAAAATATTTTTGAAAATAATTACTTTATAATTAGATAATTCAAAATAAATATATATATAATTTGTGAGTGGATAAAAAATAATATAATATTTTTATTAAAATTCGTTTCAACGGATATAAAATTCGTGGACTGATGAAATATTATTTTGACAAAGTATATTTTCCTAAATTTTTTTATATAAATATAATTATTGAAAGAAACGAAAATATCCTTCTAATTATTGTCACTGTGGGACACAAAATTTCGTAATGGCCCACTTTGTTTACTCCACGATTCTCCACAAGTTGCCACGTGTACATTACCCTGAGCCGACTCGGTGCACGTTAGTTCCATCACCGTCGTCGAAGCTTCTCGACCTTTCTACACATCATTCCCCGCGCTTATAAAAACCTCCTGCGCGCGCGCCGCACCTCCAATTCATCAAAAATTCCCAATCTCAGAAAACTGCTGCAGTTACAGAATTACAGCTCGAAATCTATCCTAATTTTATCCGATTGATCAGGAGATTATGTGTTTTCTCGGATGCGCGACGGAGGAGACGGAGATCGGCCGGCGGCAGGCGCCGGGATCCTGCCCGTACTGCGGCGGAAAGGTACAGGCGGTGGACGTCGCCGCGCGGTGGCGGTTTCTGTTCTTCCCTGTCGGATTTAGGTACCGACGGAAATTCTTCTGCGCTCTCTGCTCCAGGCGTCTGCTTCCGTACGATTCGTATGCGTGGTGAATCGGGTGATCGATTGAATTCGAATATGGTAATGGAACTGCCTCATTTATCAACTGTGGATATCGTATTTGTTGCCGATTGAATTTTATATTTTTTTGCTGTTGTTCATTGACGTAGAGGCGTATAGATACGAGTTTTATTTTATTTTTTTAAGGTGCTAGTCTGTTATTGAAAAACTTTTGCTGTATAGACACGAGTTTTGTGTACGAAATTGTATCATTCGTTTTGGGGAATCGGAGGATTGAATTTGTGAATTGTGAGATGAAATTGATGAATTGATTATCGTCTTCTTCAGTTCCAACTTTCATTTCTCTTAGTTTCAGAATATCACTTGTGGAGTTGGATTCTGTGTGTTCTCTCCATGGACTCCGGCGCCGGAATTATCCACGCCGCCGTACAGTCTCCGGTGCACTGTAGTGTGTGTGGATTTGTCCTTATTATGAATAATAGTTTTTTAACAAGTATTTAACTTATTTAAAATATTCATTTAATGACAACAATCAAATGTCAATTTTTCTTAAACAATCTTAAGACTGAATTTTATTTATTACTGTTGTATTGAATTTTTCTTTTAAATATATATGATTACATTCTATATTAAAAAAAAAAAAAAACCCCTAATATATATTGTCAATATAAATATAACACATGTCCATGTACGACGACGCTTTTGCCCCTCCAAAATATCGGCGAGAAACCTAAGAAATCCGGGATCAGCCGAATCGACATTTTCGACCAACACGATGAGCTTTCCGACGCTCCGCAACGCCATTTCGAGCGCGGCCGAGTTCTCGGACACCGTAAACGGGCAATTATTCTTCGGAGCCAAACAAAATAAAAAATCCGAAGAACCGAATACCGCCTTCGCTATTCCGACGGCTAATCTTTGTTTTCCGACAATATCGTTTCCCCGAATTAACATCCACGTATCTTGTCGACGATCGTAACCTTCCATCAATGCGGTCGCTATCGACGGTATCGACTCGATTTGCCACGGAATGCTCTCTCTAAGCGTCCCGACAATATCCTCTTCGATTCGGTTGCAATCGCATTCGCAATGTGTTCCGAGGGTCAGCACTGTATTTGCCGCCTTTTATTTATTAGGACAATGTGAGCCGTACGATGAAGAAATATAGCGACGGCTTCGATTTTCTTCATGAAGTAATATCTTCTGAATTTAGTTACACATGCGTATAAACACATTAAAGGGTCTACAAATTTAACTTCACTTCGTTGGGTTTGTTTGGTTGTGTTTTTTAATTTTATTTGAAATAATGTGTTAGATATGTTATTTTCTTTTTTCAATTAGTATTTGGATGTGATATTTTATACTTTATTAGAAAATTAATATTATATTTTTAATAAAAATTATGCTGATAAATAATATTGATTTGAATTTAAAATAGTAACAAAATAAAACCCATCAATTAAAGGTTTTTACTTATATTTTGAATTTATTTTTCATATTGTTTAGAAACTAAATTACATATTTTTTTTTATTAAAAATCTTAACTGTGTCACAAGTTGATCTATAAAAATCTGATTATCAAAGTGTTTATGTTTAGTTTTAAGTGTTATATATAAAAATAAATAAAAAATATTGGATTTTGAGTTGGGATTTGAATAGTAAAAATTTTGAATTTGAATAGTTGTATGATGTGATATAAATAGGTGTTGATGTGATGTTTAGAATGTAAAATTGATTTTTAGTACAATATAAAAAATAAAAATAGATGTTTGATTTGATATTTTGGGGGAATAAAAATTGATGAACAGTGAAAAAAAAATTCAATCCCTCAAACAAACACACCCTAAATTTATATCATACAATAGTTAATTTAAGGTGTGTTTGTTTGAGGAATTTGTTTGAATTTCTACTCGCGGACACATATGATAATATTTATTGAAAATAATATAATATTCTAAATAGATCTCAATAGATAAATACTAACCGATTCAACTACGCAGACAAATAGAAGAAATTAATCAAAACCACAATTAATGAAGTTAATATATAAATTCTACGTAATGTTAAAATGCTATATATTTTTTTTAAAAGATAAATCAAATAGTCAATTTTTTAACCAAATCATCTATCAATTTTTCTATAAAAGTATTTCAATTCATTGATACACACAATTCAACAATTAGATATAATTATTTCACAAAAAAAAATGTCAAAATTATTATAAATTTATATTAGTTAGATTAATTTAAAATGTAAAATATTTATATTTATATTAATAAAATAAAAATATTAACAAAAATTAATAATTTAAAGTAGATCAAACAGCAACATAACAATTATTTTTTAAAATCAGCACAATAATAAATAAATAAATAAATAAAAGAAAATAACAAACTTTTGAAAAATAATAATTATTATATATATAATTTTATTTTTTATATAACTAATTATTATATAACTTTATTAATCTTTTGAAAAATTGTTAATTTTGTACGTGGGCTCTTGGCTCCTTATAAGTGGGCCCAATGGTATTTCCTATATTAGGGTTTTGCGTCTCCCTTTGTCTGCATATCTCTCTCTGCAACAAAGAAGAAACCCTAGAAGGTGCTGCGGTTCAAGTTTCAACAGGTAATTTGCTACCTGTTGCTTCGTTTTGTTCGTCGAATTGAAAAGATTTTCTTTCTTCAGAAGATTTTAATCGAAAAGATTTTCTTTCTTCAGAAGATTGTAATCTGATTTTGATTAATTTTGGTTCATTAGATTGATATTTTATTTTATTTTTGAACATTGCGATACATCGTTGTTTTGAAATCGGTGAAACTACTCTTTCGTAGACTTTATAGTATTGTAGTGCTCTTTGATCGGATGAATTTGGGAAGCTTTGTAGGATCAGATTCAGTGTGTGTATTAAATTAGATGTTATGTACCTGGGAATTATTAACAACAGATTTGCTGCCGTTAAAGCTTACAGTAATTAATTTGCTATCTATATCTTCGTTTTTGTAATTGAAATTGTAGTGTTATTTCTGCTAAAGGAGATTGCAGTGGGATTTTTTAGTTCAGATTCATAAGATTGGGATATTTTATTTTTTTTGGTGGACGTGTGATACGTTCGTTAATTTAAAATTGTTGAAACTTATTGTTTGTATGCCTTTATTGTATCAAAATGCCGATCAAATTTGGGAAGCTTTGTTGAATAAGGTTCACTGTGCTAATTGATTTGATGTTCTGTAACCTTGTATCATTAATAGTAAAGCAAATTGTGTGGGCATATCAGATATTTCAGTCCGTGTAATGATTTCTTATTTTATTTTGATTGATTTATGTGATAGAGAGATGAGCGACGGGGTAAAGGTTGGGATACTCGTTCCCGAGTCAGTCTTGAAGAAACAAAAGCGAAATGAGGAATGGGCCCTTGCAAAGGCGAAAGAACTCGAGGAAGCAAAGAAGAAAAAAGCTGAGACTCGCAAGCTAATCTGCAAAAAAGCGAAGGAGTATGCCAAGGAATATGAAGAAAATGTACGGTTGGAATTACCTTATTTTTTGGAAACAATGTGTATTTCTTTGATTTTATTCGTTTTAGATTAAATGTAATTTCTTTGATAATTTTTACTTTTCATCCTTTGAATGTTTAGGAGAGGCAACTGATTCAGCTGAAGCGTGAGGCTCGTTTGAAGGGCGGCTTCTACGTCAGTCCCGAGGCCAAGCTTTTGTTCATCATTAGAATCCGTGGGTAAGGCATTTCAACTACAATTCATGTAATTGATAACTTTAATATTCTCAAACATAGATGATTAAATTACTGTTTTCTCTGTCAGTATTAATGCAATGCACCCGCAGACCAAGAAAATTTTGCAGCTTCTGCGACTGAGACAGGTATGAATGCGGCCAATTATTTAGTTTCCGAACCTATTTGTTTGCACACAACATTTATCTAACAAATTGATTTGAATTACTGTAGATTTTCAACGGGGTATTTCTGAAAGTTAACAAAGCTACACTGAACATGCTTCACAGAGTCGAGCCATATGTTACTTATGGGTAAGACATTCTCTCATACCTCTCATATGCCTTAACATTTATTCACGACAAACGTCTGGAAAACCCTCATCATAATTACACAAATTTTCAGATACCCCAACCTTAAGAGCGTCCGAGAACTGATTTACAAACGAGGCTATGGGAAAGTGAACAAGCAGCGGATTGCCTTGACAGACAACTCTATCATCGAGCAGGTACCTTGTGTGTTTCTTTTGAGTTTTTGTTTATGTTGTGTTTGTGTGGGGTTTTGGATTTATATTTTGAATTACAATAGTTATTTGACTTGATATAACCAAGTGATGATTTGATGCTTTTATGTAGAGTTTTTTTTTTTTTTTTTATTATAATATAAAGATAAAAACAAGTATTTGATTTAATGGTTTTGGAAGAAAGAATTCGATCCAAACAACCACAACCTTAGGTTGCGTTCTTTTGTGGGTTTTACAACGTATTTTTATTATTTAGATTCTTTTTTTTTTTTCTCTAAAAATATCAAATCAAACAATTATTTTTATTTTTTTATATTATAGTACAAATCAAACACACCCCTGACTTTCTTTGAAAACAAAAACTTTTCTTTTTCTCTCAAAATAAAAATCATTACATCCTTGTTAACTCAATGTCTTCTTAAGCGGCGTAGTTTGCAAAATCTACTGTTTCTTGATGGGCCCAGCCGTCTTAAATTGCTTTATTTCGATGTTTTTGATAGACATTGGGTAAGACGGGGATAATTTGCGTGGAAGATCTCATCCACGAGATCATGACGGTGGGGCCCCACTTCAAGGAAGCGAACAACTTTTTGTGGCCATTCCAGCTGAAGGCACCCCTGGGCGGGTTGAAGAAGAAGAGGAACCATTACGTCGAAGGCGGTGATGCTGGTAACCGCGAGGATTACATTAACGAACTCATTAGGAGGATGAATTAAGTAAGCTTTATCGCAATTTTGCTTTTGCTGCATTAAATCGAATTTTCGATCTGCTTCTTCAAGACTTATTTAGTCGAAAACTTTGCATTTTGGGCTTCTCTTGTCGTTCGGGTTAATTAGTACTATGATTTGGCATGCAATTAATGTTTAGTTTTGTCAATTATTGAGTTTGTGATATGCTGAAATTGGATTTTGACTTATATTTTTGTCGTGTTCACCTCTTATTTTGAATTTTCATTTGTGTCCATTTTTTCATTAATGTAGGCACTTTACTAAGGTAAAAATATGTTTGTGTTGCTTGGTAGGATAATAAAAAAAATACACTATCATTAAAATTTATGCCTTTTTTTTTTTGCTAAAAAATTGTTCTTGGCTTTTTAGTAAAATATCATTTTTTTTCTGTACTCTGAAAGAATACTTTTTATATTTTTATTTACTTTTCTTAAAATTTGTACTCTTAAATGAGTGTAAATTTTGATGATGGTTAGGGGTGAGCATTCCGATTTGAAAATCCGAAATCTTTGGAAAAATCAATTTGAACCGAAATTCGTACTTCGAACTAAAAAATCCGAACTAAATTAAAATTTTTGAAATTCTAAATATTTATATTATTTTTTTTTTAATTTGTAAATTTTCTTTTATATTAAATATAAAAATTTGAACTAATATTATTTTATAATATTAAATATATATAATATATTAAAATATAATATTTTCTAATAAAATATTAAATATGTATAATAAAAAAATATATTAAAATGTTATATTTCGGATTTCGGATTGGTTCGGATTTTAAGTATATCGATTCGATCATAAAATTCGAAATTTATTAAAAATTCAATCCGATCAAATCCGAGAATCTGAAAAATTTGAATCAAATTTTAAATTTCAATCTGGTTCCGTAGTATTTTGAAGTAAGAAAACAAAAGTTGTGGCGGTAATTTAGGAAATTTATTAGTGAATGTGTTTAATTGATGGTATATGTTTGATTTATCAACAGTGGTAATTGTTATTATGAAAAAAGTAATCATTACTTGGTGTTTGTTATTTATTTAGGTTGTGTTGTTTTAGATTTTCCTATATATTTTTACTATTCAGATTTATTTATTTTTTTAAGGTATTATATCAAATAATTATTTTATATATATATTTATACTATAAATTTATTTTATATTTTAAATATCATATAAATATTTATTTATATTATATCAAACAACTATTTAAATTTAATTTTTTATTATTGAAAAATTCAGACTAAAAAAATTAAAACCAACGAACAAACACACCATATTGTATTTATAGTATTATTCTCCATAGAGTGTGTTTTGTTTGGAGGATTTGTTAAAACTTAAACTATTAATTAAATTTTTTTCTCAAAAATATCAAATCAAAATATAAAATCATACAACTATTCAAACCATAAGTAGATGCTGAATAAATCATATCCATCTAATATATATTTTATTTTTTTTATTTGGATGATGTGAGATGATAAAGTGTAGTATAGAGATTAAGTATAATTAATTATTTCTTATTTTGGAAATATTGCAAGAGTGTTTGGGATATATAAAAAAGAAATGTTGCAGGGTGCTTGGGACAGAGGAAGTATAAATCTTTGCAAATCTTTCGAACAAACACACCCAATATTTGAAATATTTTGAACTTTTATAATTGACTATTGAAAATTATAAAAAAATTATAAATTTTTTTATTTTTATGAATTTTAAATATTTTGTAAATAAATGAATATTATGAAACCACGATCAAACGTATCCATTAATAGATTAATGACTTTGAACTTTATGGGCTTTTAAAGATAATGGTTAACAATAGAAAATTATTCACTGGGCAGTTTGGGCCATTTGCCATATAAATAAATATATAAGAATATTTAAATGAGATTGTTTTAAATAAAATAAATTTTAAATATAAAATATTATATATAAATCATAATTATTTATCCCTTTAATATTTATATATCTTTTATATTTATGTAAATTAAAAAAATATTTGTAATATTAAATAGGTAATATAATTATTAAAAAAATAAATAAATAAATTGTTACCAAATCAAATCAGAAGCATAACCACTCCAACAATCCAATTCACGCGCCGCCGTCACCCACCTTGCCCACCCCACTTTCTTCTTTCTTTCTTCGTTACTTTCTCCCCCTCTTCTCTTTTTTCTTTCATTTTCTTCTAAGTTGCGCCGCCGCCGCCGCCGCCCGCTGGAGTATCCGGTGCGGCTTTTTTTAATTTCCCTCTCTTTCTTCATTTCCCTCTGATTGTGCTTCCGTTTACTAGGAAATCGAGTATGTTTTAACATTTCCTCATCTGTTTTTGCTTCTTCTACCGGTGGTCTCCGGTCGCCGGCGCTTCCGTTTCAGACCTCTTTGCCCAAGTTTTTCCGGTAGCTAGGGTGCACAGAAAATCGCACAAACAAACAAACATGGCCAAGTTTATTCTTTCACACCAGTTTTGCTTGTAGGTTTTGTAAGTCGTTAGTCGAAAATTTTGGGTCAAATACAGTTCGTGAAAGCTCACATTCGAAGTTCCACCATGTTCGCTCAAGTCAGGTATCGGTTGCAACAGAGTAAGAACCAATTTTCAATTTCTTCGATTACTTTCACATTCCCCTTTCAATTACATCTCCAAATCGCTCAATTTCATCTCCTACCTGCATTTCCCCAGCAATTCTCCGTTCGCGCATCGTTGAAAACCCTACAACTCCGATCTCCAGTACAGGATCGTGCGTTTCCTTATATTCCACTTCCACAAGGATATACAGAGCTCCGATTTCGAGATCACTGCGCAAGCGAATCAACAGAAGAGCTAGATTGGCAGCAAAACCTGTTCTAGACAAAACAGTTTTCCAAAAATGTGTATCTCAGCTGCTGCCTAGGTTCACCCCGGAGGATCTCCACAATGTGATAATCGAACAGGACGATCCATTGGTGTGCTTGGAGCTCTTCAATTGGGCGTCTCAGCAGCACAGATTCAGGCACACCGTGTTCACCTATCACCTCGGTGCGGCCAAAATGTACAAGGAAATGGACGATATCGTCAATCAGGTTCTAGCTATCCCTAACCTGGGCTCTGAGCCTCTTTTCAATACCATGATATATTACTTCACTGAGGATAGGAAGCTTGTTAGGGCTGTGAATATATACAAGCATATGCGTGCTTCCTGGAATTTAGATTGCCGGCCGTCGATTCGTACCTATAACATATTGTTTGCAGCATTTCTGAGCCGCAGGACGAACACCTATATTAACCGAATGTATATGGAGACACTTACGGCCCTTTCATTAATCTTGTTTGTTGGTAAAGTGACTGTGTGGGCTGCTATTGCTTTTGTATCGATTTATGTAGTATATGCCTTTGTCGTTGCTGCTAATGAACTGTTGAGGACCCATACCCAAAGGCTGAAATTGGATGCGTTTACTCCATTGCTTCCAGTTGCAGGAAATCTGTTTTCCATGGGAAATCAAGAGGATGAGTCCATGTTTAGCTCATTGCTTGAGGTTGAAACCGAGAGTAATGCGCAGTCACATGCTTCGTTGCTGCAGTGGATGTGCGCTACTAATGTGGCAATATGACGGAGACAAGAATCTGTGGGGATGGAATGAGGAAGATCGGAAGCACATCGGCCATTGTTTTCATTTTTGAAGCTATATTCTCTCATGCACTTGCCGTTAACAGTTCCAAGGCGACTCACTATTCCCTTCGTAGACGAAGAGAACTGGTCTAAGGTATATGCTGTTGGCTGTGCCTTATGTGCACCAATTCTTCTTGCATTTCTATGGAAAACAATCTTGATAATGGACATCTTGAGCAAGATTGTTTTATTTCAATTTTTGCTCCCAAAGATTTCAAATACATTTCTAAATTTGATGTTGAATTGGCAACATTTGTGTGAGTGAAATTGGATTCATATTCTTGGAGTAATCGTGACTGATTCAATAGAACTTTGAATTTGTATTTTTGCTTGAATTTGAGTTGCACAGAGCTCTCATTTTTAGGGGATTGACTATTCACACATATGAGGAAACAAGAAGCTTTGTAGGCAATGTGATTATTTCCAGTCTTAATTTTGAGGAAAAGATTGATTGCAATTGCCAATTGATGAGACCAAGATTTTATGGCTTGCTATATTTTATTATCCTTCTGCAGACAATATTTCGCTTATTTTTAATTACAATATATATGTATAAGTTTTGATGGATTCATGTTAGATATTTGATGCACCATAATATGTGTTCATGGTCTGTAATTATGGAAACATACATTTGTGGTCTGTTATTCTGCGAGGACTGATCATAAATAACTATTTTTTTTGCTCTAATCACGCAGGTGTGGATACGTCACGGCTAAGAATGTTCTTGAATTAGTTGAGGAACATATCCTAAAGGGTGAAATCGTTGAGAAGCTTTGGAGGTTTAGCAATTCTCTCTGAATATATATGTTCTCTTCTCCTCCCCTTTTTATCTTACAAATTATATGCATTATTAATTAAATCAGGGGCCAAATGGGTACTACTATCGGCAAATCAAGTGTGACCTTATTTGATAGCCACAACCCACCAAGTGGGTTTGATACAGTTAAAGTTAAATCAAAAAGAGATGCCACCTGGATTGTGGTTATTATATTGAGCATCACTTCAGCTGCTACTATTGCTTATGGCATCTACCGAAGAAGAAGGTGAAGTTTCCTTAATCTCTTTGCCATGCTTACAATTTATAATAAAGAAAGAGTTATAGTAGTACTACTAATAGTTCAAGTAAGTAGTCATGAGTCTTAACTGTTGGTGATTGATCTCATAAGACCAGACTAATGAAGTTGGTTAATTTCCGCTACTCTTCAAATGTTTGCTGTTGTTAGCCTCTTGACGTTGATAATGCAAATGCATGCATAAGAAGGATAATATGATATGTATACCCTTTGTTTGCTATTGTTTCGTGCCACTTTGTTTGTTATTTCCATGCAAAGACCAATGTTGTAGTGGTTTATTTCAAACGGCCTATTTATGATGAAAGTTATACTTGATGTTTGAATTCATGAAAACATATATTTTGAAACATTAGTCCGCTCGTAGTGAACTTTTGAAGAAACACGTATTGCATACCTATTATGAAAGTAGTATATAGAGATTTGTGAATAATGTGTTGCTCTGTAAAATATTGTTAAATTATGTACGAAAGAAGTGAAATTCTATGTTCTCTAAGCGCCAATTGATTTAAGCTATTATTCACAATAAGGTGTTGCAATTTTAATATTTCAACTTGTTTTGTTAAGTTTCGTCGAAAGGTTTGTTTAAAATTTATTTTATTCTTCGTGGTTCTTTTACTTAGAGATTACTGCCATATACCAAACAATGTGGAATTTTAATTAAATTTACGAAATTCCTGCATGATAGATATTGTTTTGTAAATTTGTTAGACCAATTCATGGTTAATTATCACTAATATATGTCCAGAGATCTTTTTTGATTTAGAATAGAATAAGGTTGATTTTAAACTTGCCCATTCGGTTTCGAACCTTCGGTTTGCCGGTTTTTGAATTGACGGTTACGGTTCAAATCGAAACCCGGCACAAACCGAACCGAAACCGTCATCCCACGGTTCGGTTTTGGTTTGTGAATTTTCCAAATCGTAAACCGCCGGTTTACGGTTTGAACCTGCAGTTTATATTATTTTTTTTAAAAAAAATCTCTCACCACTCACAGGGAGGCTCAGGCAAAGAAAGAAGAAAAAAAAAGAGGAAAGAGGGAGGAGGGAACAGGAAGACCGAAAAGAAAAAAAAAAGGAGAACCTGTTGGCGCTGCCGCCTGCTGTCGATGATTTAGTACGTGTAAATGTATTATTGATTAGGAATTTAGGGTAAATTGTGTATATTAATAATAATGATATTATAATTATGATTAATTTGTATATATATATATATTATTAAACTTTTATAAAAATAAAAATAATATTAATCTTAATAAATATCAATAGTTATTAATAATATTAATAAAATAATATTATTATATATATTTAAATTTTGTAATTTTTTATCATATCAATATTTTTATATTTATTTTTATATTCTTTTTTATTTAAAATTTAATTTAATTATTTACTATATTTATTATTTTAATTATTTTTATAATGTAATAATTTAATTATTTATTTATATATATGATTTTTACATAATAAATAAATAATAAATATATCTGAATAAAATTGATATCAAACTTAATAAATTTTAAATTAAATTTAAATTTAGAAAAATAGAAAATAAAAAAGGAAAATATTAAAAATGAATATATATAAACCGGCGGTTCAAACTGTAATCGACGGTTTTTAAATTGAAACCGGCGGTTTATAAACCGTAATCGAAACTGTCAAACCGTAACCGAAACCGTTATTTGGAAGGTTCGGTTTCGATTTGATATTTTGACAAACCGTAACTGGCGGTTTGAACCGGTTTGGCAAGTTTAGTTGATTTCTCTTCCAGTTCAACCCCTCGTATAAATGATATGATCTCATGACATTCATTAAAGTTACTAACTACTGAATCATGCTTGTTTAATCTTGTATTGGTGCAGATACCGTTAGAAAATTTGAAGTCAGAAGTACATCATATGCATCAATTCTATTTTATTCCTTTTATGGATGTAATTGTAAGTATTTTAACTTTTTTTTTTTTTTTTTTGTGAAATTTTCATTTTCTACCCCCAATTGAAGATATAGAATATAAGATTATGTTCATAAGCAAGAAAGTAGATTGAATGAAGTTTATATAATAATGAGATTCTTAAAACTTCAGTGGATTAAGCTATTGCAATGTGCTAATATGGTGTATATCGTATTCTAATCCTTCACCATTTGCAACTTGGAAATCTACATGTAGGCATCAAATATGCTTCGGTTTTGTAATTTCCATCATGTTAAAAGAAGAAGATAGCATTTCTTTTCGATTGATAAATTTATGTTTTACTAGGTGCACTACATTTTTATAGAGTTGAAATCTATAGTTAATTGCATCAAAGGTCGATTCTTTCACTTCATGTTGTGTAATTTTTTCAAATTTCTGCACCTTAAAATGTCAATTTATCATGCCACGGTTTTTGCTTGATCCTATATATCCATTAGTTTATAGAAAGTTAGAAACATAGTCAAGTTATTGGGCATAGTTTAGTAAGAAATTGTAAAATAACTATAATTACGTGTGCAAATTAGTCACGGATGAAATTTCGTGATTGATGTCATGAGTAATTTATTTATAGAATTATTTATTGAATTTTCTTGTAAGGAATTGCTTACGAGTTATTACTAACAGAATACTCACGTGTGTCCTAGTTCGAGTACTATTAAATAGTGAATTTGTTGAGTGTTTATGTAGAATGAATGAAAAATTTATAAAGGACACACATATCTTATAAGGTAATACCTATCTTAATTTGTATATGTTATTATTATTATTATTATTATCTACAGTTGAGCTCATATTTACACAGCGGTTGATAGCTTTTGATCATTGATTTGAACATAAAAGCCACAAGAACAGTTGCCATTTGTAAACAAGTAGCAACATTCTAGTTGAATATGGGCACTACATATATAGGCTTGCAATATAATTACAATTTTAAAATTCCAGTATTCATGTGTATGTATATGTGTGAATATTAATTTGTTGTCCACTAATTGTTGAACATATTTTCGTAAGGCAGAGGGGTCAAATTTTATTTATAACGATCAAAATAGTTGTAATGTTGTGCTTAATAATTTTTTAACGGGCATTTGTTTCTTTCCCCTGAATTATGCTATGTTGGCACATTAAAGATGATATGAACAAATTGTTTGCGAGTTGCTATTAAATAGTCTTAGTTTAAAGAATTTGATAAACTGTATTTTGTAATAATAATGCTTTGGAAATTTCATAATAACAGTTATATGAAAGACCAGTGTAATCATGATTTTTATTTTTTTACTTAATCTCTTACTTCCAGTAGGTATATGTGGAAGCATTGGGAAATAGCTTCTCTAGTGCAGCACCATTGCAATTCGATACAAATGGATTGTTGGGAAAGGCTTCAGCATATCGGTGGATTCAAATTTTAAGGTATGTTGCTTCCATAATTTGAGAAAGTTGACATCATATTTAGCAAAAAAAGTGTGGCAATTTCAGGCTGATGATACTCATTCCGACACGCAAAAAATTAGTGCATTTTTTGCGAGGGAAAGAGTAATATTTTTTTTGGTTTGCCTCGGGTTGTTTTAAAATTCAAGCCCGAAAGGACCGGCCTGATTTTGGATTGGGCTTGAAAACCCAAAACAAGGCATGGCCCGGTTTCAAATTATACCGGGCCAGGCCAGCCCACATTTTTAATATTAAGTTTTAATTAAGTTTTGTATTTTTTTAATTAGAAAATAAGTTATATTAGTCTAAATTGATATAATTAGGAGAAAAATATGTTTATTGATAATTAAGAATTTTAAAAAAAATTAATGCATTCAAGTCCTGGGACGTAAACATGATTCTATTACTATATGCAAGATGCTATAATAAATGCAAAACATAAATGTAAAAGAAAAAGAACGAAATACTCCCTATTATGTATTGAGTCGTCCGATCATCCGGCCATTCCCTCTCGTATGCATCTAAAAAGATCTAAAATAGATATTAGTATATATATATGCATAGGAACGATCTTTGCACTTCCTCTAATCTCCCCATAAGCTTTACCTACAAACTAAAAACACTAAAAAAACAAGTTAGTATAAAATATAGAAACAAAATTAATGCATGCATGTCCCGGGACTTAAAAATAAATCTATTTCTATATGCATAATGCTAAAATAAATTAAATGCATAAATGTAAAAAGAAGGGGACGAATTACTCCCTATGATGTATTCGGTCGTCCGATCATCCGGCCACTCCCTCGTATGCATCTAAAAAGATTTAAAATAGATATTAGTATATATATGCATAGGAAAAGAAAAAATAATATTAAAATCACTTACCTTGGATTTGAAATCGAGATCGAAGGATCTTTGCGCTTCCTCTAATCTCCCCATAAGCTTTACCTACAAACTAAAAACACTAAAAAAATAAGTTAGTATAAAATATAGAAAAAAAATTAATGCATGCATGTCCCGGGACCTAAAAATAAATCTATTTCTATATGCATAATGCTAAAATAAATTAAATGCATAAATGTAAAAAGAAGGGGACGAATTACTCCCTATAATGTATTCGGTCGTCCGATCATCCGGCCACTCCCTCTCGTATGCATCTAAAAAGATTTAAAATAAATATTAGTATATATATGCATAGGAAACAACAAAATAATATTAAAATCACTTACCTTGGATTTGAAATCGAGATCGAAGGATCTTTGCGCTTCCTCTAATCTCCCCAGAAGCTTTACCTACAAACTAAAAACACTAAAAAAATAAGTTAGTATAAAATAAAGAAACAAAATTAATGCATGCATGTCCCGGGACTTAAAAATAAATCTATTTCTATATGCATAATGCTAAAATAAATTGAATGCATAAATGTAAAGAGAAGGGGACGAATTACTCCCTATGATGTATTCGGTCGTCCGATCATCCGGCCACTCCCTCTCGTATGCATCTAAAAAGATTTAAAATAGATATTAGTATATATATGCATAGGAAACAAAAAAATAATATTAAAATCACTTACCTTGGATTTGAAATCGAGATCGAAGGATCTTTGCGCTTCCTCTAATCTCCCCATAAGCTTTACCTACAAACTAAAAACACTAAAAAAATAAGTTAGTATAAAATATAGAAACAAAATTAATGCATGCATGTCCCGGGACTTAAAAATAAATCTATTTCTATATGCATAATGCTAAAATAAATTAAATGCATAAATGTAAAAAGAAGGGGACGAATTACTCCCTATGATGTATTCGGTCGTCCGATCATCCGTCCACTCTCTCTCGTATGCATCTAAAAAGATTTAAAATAGGTCTTAGTATATATATGCATAGGAAACCATAAACTAATATTAAAATCACTTACCTTGTATTTGAAATCGAGATCGAAGGATCTTTCATGATCCTCTCGTCTCCACATAAGCTTTACCTACAAACTAAAAACACTAAAAAAATAAGTTAGTATAAAATATAGAAACAAAATTAATGCATGCATGTCCCGGGACTTAAAAATAAATCTATTTCTATATGCATAATGCTAAAATAAATTAAATTCATAAATGTAAAAAGAAGGGGACGAATTACTCCCTATGATGTATTCGGTCGTCCGATCATCCGGCCACTCCCTCTCGTATGCATCTAAAAACATTTAAAATAGATATTAGTATATATATGCATAGGAAACAACAAAATAATATTAAAATCACTTACCTTGGATTTGAAATCGAGATCGAAGGATCTTTCCTGATCCTCTCGTCTCCACATAAGCTTTACCTACAAACTAAAAACACTAAAAAAATAAGTTAGTATAAAATATAGAAACAAAATTAATGCATGCATGTCCCGGGACTTAAAAATAAATCTATTTCTATATGCATAATGCTAAAATAAATTAAATTCATAAATGTAAAAAGAAGGGGACGAATTACTCCCTATGATGTATTCGGTCGTCCGATCATCCGGCCACTCCCTCTCGTATGCATCTAAAAACATTTAAAATAGATATTAGTATATATATGCATAGGAAACAAAAAAATAATATTAAAATCACTTACCTTTGATTTGAAATCGGGATCGAAGTATCTTTGCGCTTCCTCTAATCTCGCCATAAGCTTTACCTAGAAATTAAAAACACTTAAAAATAAGTTAGTATAAAATATAGAAACAAAATTAATGCATGCATGTCCCGGGACTTAAAAATAAATCTATTTCTATATGCATAATGCTAAAATAAATTAAATGCATAAATGTAAAAAGAAGGGGACGAATTACTCCCTATGATGTATTCATTCGTCCGATCATCCGGCCACTCCCTCTCGTATGCATCTAAAAACATTTAAAATAGATATTAGTATATATATGCATAGGAAACAAAAAAATAATATTAAAATCACTTACCTTTGATTTGAAATCGGGATCGAAGTATCTTTGCGCTTCCTCTAATCTCGCCATAAGCTTTACCTAGAAATTAAAAACACTTAAAAATAAGTTAGTATAAAATATAGAAACAAAATTAATGCATGCATGTCCCGAGACTTAAAAATAAATCTATTTCTATATGCATAATGCTAAAATAAATTAAATGCATAAATGTAAAAAGAAGGGGACGAATTACTCCCTATGATGTATTCGGTCGTCCGATCATCCGGCCACTCCCTCTCGTATGCATCTAAAAAAATTTAAAATAGATATTAGTATATATATGCATAGGAAACAAAAAAATAATATTAAAATCACTTACCTTGGATTTAAAATCGAGATCGAAGGATCTTTGCGTATCCTCTAATCTCCCCATAAGCTTTACCTACAAACTAAAAACACTAAAAAAATAAGTTAGTATAAAATATAAAAACAAAATTAATGCATGCATGTCCCGGGACTTAAAAATAAATCTATTTCTATATGCATAATGCTAAAATAAATTAAATGCATAAATGTAAAAAGAAGGGGACGAATTACTCCCTATGATGTATTCGGTCGTCCGATCATCCGGCCACTCCCTCTCGTATGCATCTAAAAAAATTTAAAATAGATATTAGTATATATATATGCATAGGAAACAAAAAAATAATATTAAAATCACTTACCTTTGATTTGAAATCGAGATCGAAGGATCTTTGCGCTTCCTCTAATCTCGCCATAAGCTTTACCTACAAATTAAAAACACTTAAAAATAAGTTAGTATAAAATATAGAAACAAAATTAATGCATGCATGTCCCGGGACGGACGTAAAAATAAATCTATTTCTATATGCAAAATGCTAAATTAAATTAAATGCATAAATGTAAAAGGAAAGGGACGAATTACTCCCTACGGTCGTCCGATCATCCGGCCACTCCCTCGTCTCCCCATAAGCTTTACCTACAAATTAAAAACACTTAAAAATAAGTTAGTATAAAATATAGAAACAAAATTAATGCATGCATGTCCCGGGACGGACGTAAAAATAAATCTATTTCTATATGCAAAATGTTAAATTAAATTAAATGCATAAATGTAAAAGGAAAGGGACGAATTACTCCCTACGGTCGTCCGATCATCCGGCCACTCCCTCGTCTCCCCGTAAGCTTTACCTACAAATTAAAAACACTTAAAAATAAGTTAGTGTAAAATATAGAAACAAAATTAATGCATGCATGTCCCGAGACTGACGTAAAAATAAATCTATTTCTATATGCAAAATGCTAAATTAAATTAAATGCATAAATGTAAAAGGAAAGGGACGAATTACTCCCTACGGTCGTCCGATCATCCGGCCACTCCCTCGTCTCCCAATAAGCTTTACCTACAAATTAAAAAACACTTAAAAATAAGTTAGTGTAAAATATAGAAACAAAATTAATGCATGCATGTCCCGGGACGGACGTAAAAATAAATCTATTTCTATATGCAAAATGCTAAATTAAATTAAATGCATAAATATAAAAGGAAAGGGACGAATTACTTCCTACGGTCGTCCGATCATCCGGCCACTCCCTCGTCTCCCCATAAGCTTTACCTACAAATTAAAAACACTTAAAAATAAATTAGTATAAAATATAGAAACAAAATTAATGCATGCATGTCCCGGGACGGACGTAAAAATAAATCTATTTCTATATGCAAAATGCTAAATTAAATTAAATGCATAAATGTAAAAGGAAAGAAACGAATTACTCCCTACGGTCGTCCGATCATCCGGCCACTCCCTCGTCTCCCCATAAGCTTTACCTACAAATTAAAAACACTTAAAAATAAGTTAGTATAAAATATAGAAACAAAATTAATGCATGCATGTCCCGGGACGGACGTAAAAATAAATCTATTTCTATATGCAAAATGCTAAATTAAATTAAATGCATAAATGTAAAAGGAAATGGACGAATTACTCCCTACGGTCGTCCGATCATCCAGCCACTCCCTCGTCTCCCCATAAGCTTTACCTACAAATTAAAAACACTTAAAAATAAGTTAGTATAAAATATAGAAACAAAATTAATGCATGCATGTCCCGGGACGGACGTAAAAATAAATCTATTTCTATATGCAAAATGCTAAATTAAATTAAATGCATAAATATAAAAGGAAAGGGACGAATTACTCCCTACGGTCGTCCGATCATCCGGCCACTCCCTCGTCTCCCCATAAGCTTTACCTACAAATTAAAAACACTTAAAAATAAATTAGTATAAAATATAGAAACAAAATTAATGCATGCATGTCCCGGGACGGACGTAAAAATAAATCTATTTCTATATGCAAAATGCTAAATTAAATTAAATGCATAAATGTAAAAGGAAAGAAACGAATTACTCCCTACGGTCGTCCGATCATCCGGCCACTCCCTCGTCTCCCCATAAGCTTTACCTACAAATTAAAAACACTTAAAAATAAGTTAGTATAAAATATAGAAACAAAATTAATGCATGCATGTCCCGGGACGGACGTAAAAATAAATCTATTTCTATATGCAAAATGTTAAAGGAAAGGGACGAATTACTCCCTACGGTCGTCCGATCATCCGGCCACTCCCTCGTCTCCCCATAAACTTTACCTACAAATTAAAAACACTTAAAAATAAGTTAGTATAAAATATAGAAACAAAATTAATGCATGCATGTCCCGGGACGGACGTAAAAATAAATCTATTTCTATATGCAAAATGCTAAATTAAATTAAATGCATAAATATAAAAGGAAAGGGACGAATTACTCCCTACGGTCGTCCGATCATCCGGCCACTCCCTCGTCTCCCCATAAGCTTTACCTACAAATTAAAAACACTTAAAAATAAATTAGTATAAAATATAGAAACAAAATTAATGCATGCATGTCCCGGGACGGACGTAAAAATAAATCTATTTCTATATGCAAAATGCTAAATTAAATTAAATGCATAAATGTAAAAGGAAAGAAACGAATTACTCCCTACGGTCGTCCGATCATCCGGCCACTCCCTCGTCTCCCCATAAGCTTTACCTACAAATTAAAAACACTTAAAAATAAATTAGTATAAAATATAGAAACAAAATTAATGCATGCATGTCCCGGGACGGACGTAAAAATAAATCTATTTCTATATGCAAAATGTTAAAGGAAAGGGACGAATTACTCCCTACGGTCGTCCGATCATCCGGCCACTCCCTCGTCTCCCCATAAGCTTTACCTACAAATTAAAAACACTTAAAAATAAGTTAGTATAAAATATAGAAACAAAATTAATGCATGCATGTCCCGGGACGGACGTAAAAATAAATCTATTTCTATATGCAAAATGCTAAATTAAATTAAATGCATAAATGTAAAAGGAAAGGGACGAATTACTCCCTACGGTCGTCCGATCATCCGGCCACTCCCTCGTCTCCCCATAAGCTTTACCTACAAATTAAAAACTCTTAAAAATAAGTTAGTATAAAATATAGAAACAAAATTAATACATGCATGTCCCGGGACGGACGTAAAAATAAATCTATTTCTATATGCAAAATGCTAAATTAAATTAAATGCATAAATGTAAAAGGAAATGGACGAATTACTCCCTACGGTCGTCCGATCATCCGGCCACTCCCTCGTCTCCTACAAAATAAGCACACAATATCATCGATCCAGAATAACTAACAAATCACATGCTTAAGTGAAGAGTCAAATCCAAAAACATTCATTATTAGGTATATCACAACCAAGAAAAGTTCCAAGATTGGATTCTAAAATTTTCCAAGAAAAGTTCCAAGATTGGAATTCTAAAATTTTCCAAGAAAAGTGCCAAAGTTCCAAGATTGGATTCTAAAATTTTTCAAGAAAAGTTCCAAGATTGGAATTCTAAAATTTTCCAAGAAAAGTGCCAAAGTTCCAAGATTGGATTCTAAAATTGTTCAAGAAAAGTGCAAAAGTTCCAAGATTGGATTCTAAAATTTTCCAAGAAAAGTGCCATACTATAATTTCTTGAATGATTAACACAAGACAAAAAGAAACACATAGAAATAACCATGCCATCCCTTCTTGCCACTGATCCCTCCCCGGACAGCATAAGCCTCTTCGAAACCATTTTTCACCAAAATTACATTACCACTAGAGCAGTAAAAGTAAAGCTCAAAACTTACTTGTCGACAAGTGTCAGCTGGATCCCCGAAATTCTCCAGAACCCTCTTCACAAAACCTTCGGAATTCCACCTGCCCTGCCCTTGCTTTGCTGCTATTGCATCGATCGATCGATGGAGATCGAAGCACTGCACTTGACCTCTCCCTTAAATGGATCGCCCTCCTAAGCACTGCACTTGACCTCTCCCTTAAATGGATCGCCCTCCCTCATGTAAGCACACCTCAAGAACCCTCCCTGCCCCCTGCCCCTGCTCGTACCCCCCCCCCCCCCCCCCCTCCATTGCATTTGCATTTGCATTGCTTATAATAATGTATACAATATCAAAATCAAGAGTATTTATAATATATGTTTTAACGGCTACTTTCCTAATATAAAATACTTACCATATAATTTTATATTTTAATATTTTGTGTATATTAAAATTAAAATCAAATTCAAATTCAAAATCATTATACCTAACGGCTACTTTCCTAATATAAAAAGTTACCATATATAATTTCATATTTTAATTTATGTGTATATTAAAATTAAAATCAAATTCAAATTCAAAATCATTATACTTAACGGCTACTTACCTAATATAAAACACTTACCATATATAATTTCACATTTTAATATTATGTGTATATTTAAATTAAAATCAAATTCAAATTCAAAATCATTATACTTAACGGCTACTTACCTAATATAAAAAACTTACCATATATAATTTCACATTTTAATATTATGTGTATATTAAAATTAAAATAATTTCTTTTTTTAATATTATGTGTATATTAAAATCAAAATCAAAATCAAAATCATTATGCTTAACGGCTACTTACCTAATATAAAAACTTACAATATATAATACCCTCCTCCTATCTAATCTAATAAAAATTAAAATAATTTCTTTTTTTAATATTATATGTATATATATTTTTATATTTAAATTATATTTTACTACTTCTATAAAAATATAATATTTTATTTGAATATACTGCTACAATTACATATATTTATTTATAATCATTAATTTTATTATATTACTAATGATATTTTAAATAGATTAATAATTTAAAATTTATTTTACTGGTGTATTAAAATTATATTTCCAAAAAATAAAAGAGATAATTTATATAGGACAGATGGATATAGAAAAAGTGGATAAATTTAGTGGGACGGATTGAGTAATATTTTATGTTAAACTATTATATTTTTTAGTATATAAATTATATATTATATATTTTGTACAAAACTATATATATTATTATTTTTTAATATAAATCGAAAACCGTATAAAAAGTTAAGTGGCGATGTGTTGGAGATCAACCTGGGTCACCTGCATGCCAACAGAACCAAGAGAATAAAGCTTTGCAAATACGAAAAAGAAATGTTTTCCTAATTACCATTACCATTACCATTGTATTTATTTATTAGATTTATCTTTATCTCTGTAGATCCATACAGAGTGTCTTCCTTCTCGCCGAACTCTAATTTACTCGGTGTCACGGTCACTTCCACGCCGTCCGGTGCGTGCACTGTCACCTCGTACACGGCATTCGCCTCCTTCCCGACATTTCTTACGCTTCGTTTATACTTCACAACGCTTTTAAAGCCGGAGAAGGCAACCGAGAACGACGGGTAGTTCAAATCCCCTGGAGTTTTCAGCCCGACTGCGTTGCAATCCATGATCGACGAATCTTTCGTGAATGCCGTAATTTGCTGCGCATTGTACCTGATGCTGCACAAAAACGCGACGTATTTTTGGGTATCGATGTCGTAGATCAGGCCGGGATTCGTTGCTCGGTTTGGATCGACGTGGCCCGAGAACGGATTGGACACGTCCGCGGTGGCGAGGTCCGTTAAATTATTCCCGTTGTTGTCGACGTTGTATGCCGTGGTCATCAATGCTGACTTGATCGGCCGGCGACCACTCAGGGTGGGCCTGTTTCAGCAGCGCCGCCAAGCCGCTGACGTGAGGGCACAACATCGACCTACCGGAGATGATGTTGAATTCGACCTCGCGATTATCGCTGTTGAGAGACGTTGGCCAAACATAGCCGGTCCAGCCAGCGAGAATGTTGACTCCGGGCACGTTCACATCCGGCTTGAGAATCTCGGAGGTTCGGAGGTTTGATAGCTCGGACCACGGCTGGAGAACGAGGCCATGCGCGGCGAAGACGGAGATTTGCTTACAACGGTTCCCCGTGACCTGATAGTCGCGGTGGGATTCAGAGTTGCGTGGACATAAGCTCGGATTTTGTCGCCGCCGATTTCTCCGACCATTGTCGAGGGAATGAAGTGCGGCGAGGAGTTCCTAGCCGGAATCAGGTAAATTTTATTACTAATATAAAAAAAAATAAATTTAAAAATATTTTTACAAAAACATCGTATTGCAAACAAAGTGAAAAAGATTCTAATATGAAACAATCGAAACTCTAACAAATATATAAAAATAATAATAACTAATAAATAAGTAGACTCATATGTACCAAAAAAACATTCTTACTTTTTTTCTTTTTTAATCATTTTTATTAGTTTATTACAAATGTTTATATTGTCGGTTGCCGGCACCAAGAGTTTTATTTAGAGAGAGATAAAAAAATATCTATGAAGTTTTTAAAAATTTAAAATAACTAAAATAAATATAAAATATAATAAAATAATATTTTTATTGGTTATAATAACATAAAATAAAAAAATATATGTGACAAATAAACACTAACTTAATTATCAGAAAAATTTGGGAATAAAATTTAGTAGGTTTTTGGTACGTAACAACTAATTAAGTACGTTTGTGAGATTTATTTTAGTTTTATATTCTTAAAATATTTTTCTAAAACAAAAATGTATTAAATCAAATATATATACTTTTATTTATTATATTATAATGAAATTTAATTTTATATTCAAAATATTATTTCAATATATATATTTACATCAAATCAAATAATTATTTTTATTCAAAATTTGAAATTTAGTTTGATTTGCTCTGCTATTGGTAGTAGTATTAATTGTAGTAGCCTTTGAATACTAAGCTATATGTTTACATTTATTGAATTTTTTGTAAATATTTACATCAAATCAAATAATTATTCTAATTATTTTTTTTATCTAATCGCATAATTTACAATCAATATAATAATATGTTTTTTAAAAACAAAACATTAAATTTATATAAAATAAAAAAAATATTTTAACTTTTATTTCAATATTTCATCAAATAAAAATAGTTAAAATAACATTTTATTACATATATTATATTAACTAATCACACTACTTAACTATATAAACAATTTTTTCTTAAACTCCGTGCAAAAAATAAACGCGACTAATTTCGCAGGACGGAGGGAGTATGAAAATAAAAATTAATTAAAAATTAGAATAAGTATCTTTGTTGTAGGTATAAAATAAAATAGAATGTCATCAATGTTGACGTGGTAGTGGGAGAAAGTGAGGCGGATGGTGAAAAAAAAAATATTTTAAGAATAGAACACAAAATACACCTTAAAACAAAAATACCAAAAAAAAAAAAAAAAAAAACACACACAACAGAAAACACAAAACACAAAACAAACATACCCTGAGTATTATAAAAAGTTTTATTAAAAATTGAAAAAAATATGATAAAATAAATAAGTAAAAATAGTGAAAAATTAATTAATATTTATTAAAATATGAATAATAAAATTTTAAATAAATAAAACTATTTATTATAAATAGATTAGATATAAATTTAAATATGATAACGTAAACACATCTTTAATTTTGAATTTACTGTGGTCACATTTTATGGCAATGACTGGCGGACACAGGAAATATGAGACACTTTTATGCTGTGTTATTTTTATTGTTTTTACTTATTTATTTATTTATTATTATTATTATGATTATTATTATATCGAATCAAATAATTATTTGAATTCAAAATTTTACTATTTAAAAAAAAAAACATCGTAAACAAACACACCGTAAGCTATATTGAAATTTAGTTTGATTTGTTCTGCTATTGGTTGTACAATTAATTGTAGTAAGCTTTGAATACTAAGCTATATGTTTACTTTTATAATTTTTTATAATTATTTTATAGTACATCAAATATTCAATTTAAGTTTTATTATTTTCATTCTTAAAAAATAAAAAATAACAAAATATAATTCTAAATAGAGCTTAACTTATTGTTGATATTTTGAATTATTTTTTTATTAACATTTTAAATAGAAAAAAATTTTAATGGTATAGTTAATTAAATACAAAATAAGTATTCGATAATCGATATTTATAATAAAAAAATTATATTTATAGAAACAGAGAAAATAATAACCATAGCCTCAAAATTGTAAATTAATTATGTTTTTGATTTATATTTTATCGATATAAGTTTTTGGTTTTTGTTCATTCAAACATTTTTTTAAACTAACGTAATTCTCAATATATATTATATGTCTCATAAGAATAGTACTATTTTTTTATTATTATTTTTTGCATATTTAACATTAAAATAATTTTATATTTGTATAATTTATTTCATAAATATAAAGACTAATAAAGATATTTTTATTTTCATAATACTTTGCATTATGTATTAATATAAAATTTAATATTCAAATATCTACGGATATAAAGTCAATGGTAATCTTCTTTAATATATTATATTTTTCGCATAAAATTATTATTCAATACAAAATATTATTTTTAATATTAATGACACGATTCACATATCTCATAGTATAAAATAAATACTTCAAACTAAAATATTAAATAAACACATCCTTTGTAATTTTTAAGTGAAATAATAACTTAATGTGATTTAAGTGTGATAAGTAAATACTCAATTTATCCACTAATAAAAAATATATATTTATTTTGGATTGTAAGTAACTTTAAACCCTATTTTCTTTTCCTATAAATATTTATATTTTATCATCATATTATTACATGTTTGTTTTTTCACTATTTCAAATCAAAATCAATAAATTTACAACAAAAATTAAAGATAAAATCATTTTTACACTGTTTTAACTACCTATTAATATTAAAATATTTAATTTTTTAAACTTTATACCAAAAATAAATATATTTTTTTAAAATGAATGCAATGACTATTTTTTATAAAAAAAAAATAATAAAATCAGAGTTTATAATAAAAAGAATATAGGAAAAAAAAAAAGTAGTGTTGAATTATAAACAAATATATTTTGGGTAGGGCCCTCCAGTGGAAATAGGCCAGGCCAGGTCAGACTTAGCTAAATAGGTTTGACATGTTTTTAAAATATCTTGCCTGTAAGCCTGAAATTTTTTTTAAAGCCTGAGCATGACTTTTTAAAAAGTTTGGTCTGGCCTACAAAACTATTTAAAAGACTACGTAATATTTTTATTTATTTATTTATTTTCAAATTTAGTTAGAAATAAAAAAATAAATAAAGTACATACAATTATTTAATATATATATAAGTTAAAAAATTCTATTTTTTATAATAAAATTATAATTAAAATTATTTAATAAATATTATTATTAGATAGAAAGTTATTTTTAATATATAATAATTATAAATATTTTTATAAAAAAATAATAATATAAATAGGCCAATCTGTTAATTAAAAATATTTTTTTAAGCCTAAGCATATTTTATTTAAATAAAAAAATTTTAAAATTTTTTTGATATGACATTTTTAGTAAATAGATCAGACTAGGTCTGGCCTATTCCCATTCCTACCTGATGCTACTAAAATTAAAACGTCAGCAATTTGGAGGCACAATTAGCTGACTTTTACCAATCATAGCTCCAATAATTAAGGACAATTAAATTATACTATTACCTTGGTCCGATTCTAAAGGCTATATTTACTTTTTGCGTGTTGATATTTGAATATTATTTATTATATCAAATTATAATACAAATCAAGAGAAAATGACAAAAATACTTCTATTAGTGTCTTATAATACATAATACTTAGGGATGTCAAATGGGGCGGGTTAGCCCCGGACCCGGTCTTAATGGGGCGGATTCAGGTCTAAAAAAATTGGTTCGTGCCGGGTTGTGGATTTTGAGTTTTAGACCCGGCCGGGTTCGGGACGGGTTACGGGTTTTACTATAAACCCGCCCCACCCGGACCCGGACCCGGACCCAGATCCGGATCCGAACCCGAATATTTTAATAATTATTATAATTTATTTATATTTTTATACAATATAAATTATATTGTTTTTTTATTTGAAAAATTTTAAATATAAAATACAACTTTAATTATAAATCAAATTTATGTTCTCATTTGTTTATCCTACAATTTTCTTTATATTTGTGACTACTGCTGAACGTCATCACTACGAACTATCATCAATATTTTTGATTGTTCTTATTTTTAGAACTATAATCTTTTAGTACTTTGACACATATTTTTTTTTATTAAATTATTTTTTTTAAAAAAAATTATTTTATTCTTTAAGAAAAAAACGGATTTGTCGGGTTGACCCCGAACCCGGACAGGACGGGTCCTGGGGCCGGGTTGAAGTGGGATGGGGCGGGTCTTGGGTCTTAATATTTTTTAGTGGGGCGGATCCCGGGGCCTGCAAAATTCTTCCCGAACCCGCTCCGTTGACATCCCTAAATGTAATGACATTTGTACAAAAAAATTATATCAATATAAAAATATTTTTAATATTGAGTACAATGACGCAAAATGTGAATGTAATCCTTAGAGGCGAATGGATGGAGTATTTCCTCGTCCCACTGAAAGTATCCATATTAACGTAGATATGATAATTTAAATAAAATATAATTAGTAGATAATTTAAATTATATAAATATAAGGATATTTTTAATGTTAAGTACGCAAAAGATAAATGAGACTCTTAGAACGTGACGAAAGACAACTTCCCTTATATCCAATTCCCTTAAATACAGAACAGAGAGATTGTGCCCTGTTTGTTTGTTTGTGAGATTTCAGTCCGCCAACAAAACAGGAATCCTTTTAGGAAGACAACTTCCCTTATATCCAATTCCAATTTGTCGTCCCTTCCCTCCCAAACACACCCTAACAACACTCCTACCATTCCCTCCCTCACTAACCATACCTAAGCTCCTCCCCAAGACCTTCTCTATCCATTCCTCCACCACGGCGCCACCGCCGCCCCACATTTCCGACCACCGGAAAACCTCGTCCACCACCGCCTCCTCGACATCCAAGAAAACCGCCTTGTTGCCGCAAGCACATTCGAATTTCGATCGCAGCGCTCGCTTTGCCCGCTTGCGATCATCGTCGAACCTATTGAAAAAGATCTGAGTTTCGATGGTTTTAAGGAACGCTAACGGAGAACTATGTTGTCCCGTTACCGTCGGCTCGCGCATCACATCGCTCGATATCGGGCTATAGTTTTCGTTGTCGTCTATGTTGTCATCGTCAGCTATTACATTGAGGTCGAGGTCGAGGACGAGGCCGACACTTTTCTCAACCTCGACTTCATCGATTTTGTCGCACCTCCTCGGACACTTCCACGCCCTAATTGCCGCGTCATCTCGATTCATCTTTCTTTTAAGACTTGGATTTGAATATTTCGTTTTACAGACAATGAGTTTCATCGAAATGACAGTCGATTCTACATCGTCATCCCCAAACTTATTACACCACGTGTCATAATCGCCGTCGCCGTATATTGTCAATATAAATATAACACGTGTCCACGTACGACGCTTTCGCCCCTCCAAAATATCGGCGAGAAACCTAAGAAACCCGGGATCAGCCGAATCGACATTTTCGACCAACACGATGAGCTTTCCGACGCTCCGCAACGCCATTTCGAGCGCGGCCGAGTTCTCGAACACCGTAAACAGGCAATTATTCTTCGGGTCCAAACGGAATAAAAAATCCGAAGAACCGAATACCGCCTTTGCTATTCCGACGGCTAATTTTCGTTTTCCGACAATATCGTTCCCCCGAATTAACATCCACGTATCTTGTCGACGATCGTAACCGTCCATCAATGCGGTCGCTATCGACGGTATCGATTCGATTTGCCACGGAATGCTCTCTCTAAGCGTCCCGACAATATCCTCTTCGACTCGGTCGCAATCGCATTCGCGATGTGTTCCGAGGGTCAACACTGTATCTGCCGCCTTGTATTTATTAGGACAACGTGAGCGGTACGATGAAGGAATGTAGCGATGGCTTCGATTTTCTTCATGAAGTAATATCTCCTGAATTTAGTTACACATATGTATAAACACATTAAAAGGTCTACAAATTTAACTTCACTTCATTGGGTTTGTTTGGTTGTGTTTTTTAACTTTATTTGAAATAATGTGTTAGATCTGCCATTTTCTTTTTTCAATTAGTATGTGAATGTGATATTTTATACTTTATTAGAAAATTAATAGTATATTTTTAATAAAAATTATGTTGATAAATAATATTGATTTGAATTTAAAATAGTAACAAAATAAAACCCATCAATTAAAGGTTCTTTGCTTATATTTTGAATTTATTTTTCATATTGTTTAGAAACTAAATTACATATTTTTTATTAAAAATCTTAACTGTCTCACCAGTTGATCTACAAAAATCTGATTATTAAAATGTTTGTGTTTAGTTTTAAGTGTTATATATAAAAATAAATAAAAAAATAATTCAGTAATACTTCCTCCGTCTCTTAACAATCTATCTATTTTTCTATTTTGGTCCGTCCCATAACAAAGTATTTATTTCTTTTTTTTTTTTTTAGTAATTGTATTATCTACCTAATATTACAAATATTATTCCAATTTACAATATATTACACAAATGTCACTACCTTTATATCATATAATACTAATATGGTTAATTTAGTCTTTTTACATTTATTTCTACTTTATTCCAATATAATACTAATATTTTTAAAACTTCGTGCAAAAAACAAATAGATATATAGATATGAGACGGAGGAAGTATAATAAATGAAATGTTTAATTCTTTTAATTGAATTATTGATTTTATTTTTTGATAATGTATAATTGTTGTATGTACATATATTAAAATTTGTTAGCTTTTTTCACTAATACTACTTAAGAATTATGACTAAACTTGTTCTATTGGTGAACGGAGATATGTAATTTAATTAAGAGTATGTTTGTTTTGTCAAATAGTTTAAAATAATATTATAATTTTTTATTTTAGATAGAAAATTCTGTAAATAATATAAAATAATAATTATTTAATATTGTTTTGTTTTTTTTTAAAAAAAAGAATAAATCCTAAATATTTTATACCCAAAATATATACCTTGTTGAAAAGGGAAGTGCTAGAATAGTTGGGACAACATGGAAGTAGGCCACTGTCGTCTTCTTCCTTGGGAATAATTACAAAACCTTTAGGTTTTAAGATACTGCACAACATTCAGAATTATGAAATTAAGATTTACTATATTTTTTTATTTGAATTTGAATTTAAATTTAAATAATATTTTATAAAAATAAATAATATATTTTATTAAAACCATACAAACGAATAGTAAATACAGTAAGTTGAAATACAAACCAAACAAATCCATGAATCGCAAGAAAGATCTGTAAGATTCATTTAAAGGAATAATTCTATTTTAAATGAATAATTATAGTAATCATCTGATTTCAAATTATTATTATTATTATTATTATTGTTATTATTATTATTATTATTATTATTTAATTTTGATATTATAATTAATAATATAAAGTGTTGATATATATATATGTGTTTATATCAGTATTTTTTTTGTCTGAGTACCAAGCTATTAAGTGTTTGTTTGAGTTTTTATTATAATTTTTTTTAGGTATCAATAGTAATTTGAATTTTATATTTAGTGTATGTAAATAATAGTATTCCATCTGTCCCAAAACTATAGTCTTAATTGGGTTGGGTACGAGATTTAAAGAATATTAATACTATATTGATAGTTAGTAAAAAATATAGATAAAAAGACTTTTTTGGCCCAGCGAATGTATTAGTGTAAAAAGCAATGACAATTGTGTAATAAAAATGAAAAAGTATGGATAATTTTATGGTGATATGGTTATTTATGGAAATAAGATTATTGTTTTGGGACGGACAAAAATAGTAAATAAGACTATTGTATTGAAACGGAGGAAGTATAATTTATAAAAAGTTATAAAAAATAGTAAAGTAAAGAATTTGAAATCAAGTAAATTGGTGCTTATATGTCCTAATATTAAATGTTTTCTATGTTAAAATTACGTTAAGAAATATGTTTTGAAAAATATTTTGGAGTTTTAAGTTGATTAGGAAATATGAAAAAAAAAAATAGAATAAAAAAAATGTTTGATATAATATAAATAGGTAATGAATATGATATTTTTAAATAAAAATTTGGCATTTGATAAGTATTTTTTAAAAGAAATGCTAGACCAATGTTTATTTGTAGGTTTGAATTTTTTGTTTGAATTTTTTTAAATATTTAAAATTTAAAATTGAATAATTATTTGATATGATATAAGTTAATATTGTCATACTAATGTGATTTTTAAATATAAAATATTATTTTAGTATAATATAGAAAATAAAAAATAATTATTTTATAATAAAAATATATGAAAATTCGATTATAAAAATATATATAAGATATCTCATAGATATGTCATTACTAACCATGCAACTTTAGGAGTCAACCTTAATCCCATCGAAGGAATCGACAGTGTCTCGAGATTCCACTGCAAATCCAGCGGAGGATTCCTCTTCTTGCACTTCATATACGTATCGTAGCCGGCGGCCGCCATTAACGACACCTTCGAGCTTCCTGCACCACTGTAGTAATATTTACACCATCGAAGGAGCTTTTCTATCTCTGCAATCAAATGGCCGATGACACCATTGTCGCTTCCATCCACCGCCGCCCATTCAAGGTTTCCGACGTAGGCGATGACTCTCGGGCACGGCGGCGATGCGGCGGAGGTTTCGATTCTTCTTTTGAGGTCGACGACGGCGGCGGATACTTCCTCTTTGGTCATGAATCTCAGTTGAAGTGAAGAAAGGGGGAATTTTATCAGTTTGAAGTCGCCGGAAATGTCGCCGCAGGCGAGGTCGGAAACGGCGGATTCCGCCGTGGAAATTGTGTCTGCAACTATGACGGTGTTTCTGAGAAATATTTGTAGGATTGAATTTTTAAAATTAGAATTTTTGGGGAATTGGGGATTTTGGATGAAATTAGGGTTTTGGGGAAATTGGGAGAAATTAAAATTAGGGTTATTGGGGGATTTTGGAGAGGAATGGAATCCGCCCGAGAAATTCTCGACGGCGAATTTGACGGCGGCGCTGGAGAATCCGGCCGCCGTCAAGACGCGGCTGACGCCGGGATCATCAAGAACGGAGATTATCAGTTGCTGCAATTCCACGGCGGCGATCGGTGGCAGGTGGTGGTGGTGGTGGTCGGCGCAGCCTCTTCTCCGGTGGGCCTGAGCTCTTTTCAGGGCGGCGATAAGAGCGTTGGACATTGACGGCGTCCATGCGTGGTGGTGGAGCGCCGCCGGAGGCGCGTGGAGGCGGTTGAGGGCAACGTTGAAGCAGAGGTCAAGGGCTCGGCATTGGTGCGGCGGCGGCGACGGCGGCGATTGGGATTTGAGGCAGGCGGCGCGGAGGGGACTGGCGGCGGGAGTGAGGAGAGTGGCGGCGACATGGAGCGGAGTGAGCTTCGCGTGGCGGCGCCGCCGTGCGAGAGCGAGAGAGTGTTTGAGGACGGCGGCGGACTCCGGCGAGAGTGTCGGCTGCGCCGCCGCGGCTACCGAACGCATAATAAGTTTAGGTACTTACGGATTTTATTACTCACTAACTTTTTTGCGTTAAAAGAAATGATTTTTGTGCAATGATATCATCGGCCGCAATAAGGTAATAAATATACGCTCAGGAACTAGCTAGGGCCTGTTGTTTAAAGGGTATGTAGGGCCGGGACTTCAGATCCCACAACGTGAAAATTAATTAGGCCATCTTGTTTGGAGGTTCTTTTTTTTTTAAAAAAAAAAGAATTACTATTAGTCAATTTTATTTTTTTGAACAGATACAATCAAATTTTTATTTTTACTTTTTATATTATATGAAAAAATTAAATTTTTATTTAAAATATTATATTAAAAAATCTCTGGAAGAATTTTACAACGGAATAATTCCTTGCAAACTTGAAACGGCTAAGGTCTAATTTCATCTGTTGCTAGGGACATATTGTAAAACTATGGAAGTCCACGATCGGGTGTTTTTTGGGGGGATTTTTTCAAAAATTTACTATTTATTTAAGTTTTATTTTTTTTTAAAAAAAAAAAAATTAAATCAATTTCTTATTTTTTATTTTTTATATTATATTAAAAATTAATTTTATATTCAAAATATTACATTAACACCTATTTATATCACTTTATACAATTATTTCAATTCAAATTTTTACTATTCAAATTACAACTCAAAATTCAAACTCCTAAACAATCACACCCGAGAAAAATATGTGTGTTCACACATGGTTCGTCTAGTGTGATTTTTCCATCGGGCTTAATTTGCAGGGTATTATATTCGATCGGGGTTTACTCAGTGCGCACTTTCGGGTAGCAGCAGCGGATTCTCTCATCATAAAATATATATATATATATATGTGTGTGTTTGTGTGAATGCCGCTTTATGAAAGAATTAACTTTAAAATCTTTTTTGATGTCTTTTAGGATTTGTCAAATGATTTGGTTTGGTTGTCCCACGACAAATATTCAAGAAAAGCAACACTATTATTTCAACCTACTTTACATATATATATATATATATATATCATCTGCTGATCCAATTAAATTCGCATGGTCAGGTCAATATATCAAATAAAGACATAATATATATTTTTGTATAACACAATATATATTGAAGCATAAATATGTTATTATAGTATATAATATAGTTGATTATCTCTATGTGATATGGTGACACGATCAAATCAACACTATACTGATTTGATTGAGTCAACATCGGATCCGCAGTCTAAATTATATTACCTATGTCCGGCTCTAAGTGTTTCATCTATTTTTTGTGTATTGATCTTTGAATATTAATTATTATATGAAAATGTAGTACAAATAAAAAAAAATAACAAAAATACTTATATTAGTGTCTTATAATACTTTTATAATGACATTATGCAATTATACAAATATAAAAATATTTTTAATGATAAATACAATAACACAAAAGATAAATGAGACCATTAAAGCCGGACGAAAGAAATATATAATATACTCCAAACTAGTATCAATTTGTACAAGCCCAATTTTTACGTGTATATTTTTTTAATATTAGTATTATATATGTATATAGTGGAATATAACAATAAGTATACAATTTTTATACCTAATTTTTTTTTTATATCTAGTAAATTATGTTGATGACATTATTATAATGCTTCTTCCTATTGAAAATATTATTTTGAATTTTATAGTAAATTAAAAAATAATTGTATTATAATGGTTATTGAAAATGAAAATGTGTAGAATAATTATGATATTTTTGTCCGTTATATATTATTGTAATTTATATAAAAAAATTAATACTCCCTCCATCCCACATACTATGTCCACGTTGCCGTTTCTGTCCATCCCACATACCATGTCACTTTCATTTTTTGAAAAATGATTACACACTTTAATCTCATTTTAAATTTTTTAATTTTGTTTTTTTAAATTTTAATTAAACTAATTAGTTATTTTAATTTTAAGTTATGATTATTAATATTATCGGATAATTATTTTCACTAATATATTCTTAATTATCCACTAATTACACCCTTCCTAAAATACAGTGTCTATAGTGTAGCAGACACGGTATGTGAGACGGAGGGAGTAGTATTTTAGAAAATAGAAATTTATAAATAAATATTTTGAAATTTTTTAGAAAATAAGTTAATACATACTATATATTCATATTGTCTTTAATTTCTTTTGCTTTTACCTTTAATTTTCATTCTTTTTCACACTTTACTCACTTTTATTCTTTATCGGGATCAACAAAAAAAAGAAACAACACCCCATCTCCTTTTATTTATATATATTTTTAATAAATGATATCTTTATATATATATATTGTTGTTGTTATTATTATTATTATTATTATTATTATTATTATTTTATTGTTGTATAAGTGTTTGCATTTGTTTTTAAAATTTATTTTTTACTATTATAAATTCCGTCCGTGTTATATATGTGTTTGCTTTTTCACGGAGTTTTAGAAATATTAGTATTATATTGAGATATAATAAAAAAATAAAGTAAAAATGACTAAAATAACCTTATTAATATTGTGTGATATAAAGATAATGGCATTTGTGTAATACATCGTAAGTTGTAAGGGTATTTGTAATGTTAGGTAGATAGTACAATTACTAAAAAAGAAAATGGAGACTTTGTTATGGGACGGACTAAAATGAAAAAATAGATACTTTGTAATGGGACGGAGGGAGTAATTATTTTTATTAATACACTTTGTAATTACTTGTTAATTATAATTTATCTAAATTATCGTATTTACAGTAGTAAGCCTATATATAGAGATTTTGATTTTGGATTTTAATTTTGAATTGAAATAGTTATTTGATGTGATATAAATATGTATTTATGTGATTTTTAATGTAAAATTAAATTTTAGTGTAATATAATAAATGAATATTAGGTGTTTAATTTGATATTTTTTAAGGTGAAAAATTATTGAAATAGTAAAATAAAAACCAAAGTTGCACAAGTAAACACACCCATTATGTTTTTTGGGGTTTAAATTTTGAGCTAGAATTTAAATAGTAAAAATTTTGTATTTAAATAGTTGTATGATGTGATATAAATAGATATTGATGTGATATTTTGAATGTAAAATTAATTTTTAGTATAATATAAAAAAATAAAAAATAAATATTTAATTTGAATTTTTAGGAAAAAAAAAATGTGATAAACAGTGAATTTAAAATTTAATTCGCAAACAAACACACCCTGCTGTAAAATAGTTTAGTGGGACCAGACAACATCATTAGTGCCACTTCAGCTCAGATCCCAATGGCCAAAAAAGTAGTTAATTATTATTTTTATTTATTTATCATAAAATTTGTTACTACTTTAAAAAATAAAATAAAATAAAATTAATCAACGCAATCTTTTTTCTTTTTTTCGCAATTCATTCTTTTCCTATACTATTATTCACTTTTTGTCTTGTTGAAATTGACTGCTTATCATGCACGCCTTTCCCCGTATTTTAGCTTTATTATTATTATTCCTCTACCCGTTCTAGCTAATTTGGGCGTGTTAATATAGATACAAAAATTTAGATAAATTATAATTAGTAAGTAATTAAAATATATTAGTAAAAATAATTATTATATATTAAAAATAATTATAAATTAAGATTAAAATAACTAAGGTGGCGTTTGGTACAGAGAATGGAATTCTAGAGAAATTAGAGTAGAGAATAGAATTGGAGAGAAAGGGAATTAAGAAAAGAATGAGAATTAATTCTCTTCTTTGGTAGAATAGAGAATTCAGTTGAGAAATATAAAAAAAATGAATGGATCGGACAAGAATAAATGATTAATCTAACAAAAAAAAGTTTTAGCAAGTGAGAATCATGAAAAAAATATTTATGGTGACTTTTTTTAAAACAAAAAATTATAAATTATATAAGAAGTTTTGTAAGATATATTTTAGTATAAATTTTTGTAAAAAATTAAATACTTGAATGATAAATTAAAAATAATTTTTGTAAAACTGAAATAATATAATATAAATAATTATAAAAATTAAATAATAAAAAAAGAATAAAAAAAATAAAAATATATATACTGGAACATCATTTCTCTCTATTTCTCTGAATATAGGAGAGAAATGAAAATAGAGAAATGAAAATGATTTATTTCTCAACTTTCATTTCTTTGACTCAAACAAACAAGAGAAATGGAAATGTACCAAACACACCCTAAATACTTTAATTTAAATTAAAAAATATTATAAACTATAAAGTTTAAAATGTAATTAAAATACTCCCTCCGTCCTATAACAAAGTATCCATTTTTTTATTTTAGTACGTCCGATAACAAAGTATCTATTTCATTTTTCAGTAACTGTATTATCTACCTAATATTACAAATACCCTTATAATTTACAATATATTACACAAATGTCATTACCTTTATATCACACATACTAATAAGGTTATTTTAGTCATTTCTATTTTATTCCTGCTATATCCCAATATAATACTAATATTTCTAAAACTACGTGCAAAAAAGCAAATGAATATTTAGTTCCGGGATGGAGAGAGTATATAATTATATTTTCAAAAAAAGAAATGACAAGTTATGTGGGACATACGAAAATAGATAATAGAGACAAATTATGCGGGATGGAGGAAATATTATTATTATGATTATTGTTAATTATCCTATGCAGCACGAATAATTTCTATGATGTGTTTGGTTTGGTTATTAGACAGCGACTAAAATCACATACTGGAATCTATATTTTCTCTGCTAATTAGCCCTTTGTTTGTGGGTTTGGATTTTTGGATTTGAATAGTAAAAAATTAAATTTAAATAGTTGTTTGATATTATATAAATAGATTGATATTTTGAATGTAAAATAAATTTGTAATATAATATATATAAAAAAATTAATTATTTGATTTGATTTAAAAAAAAAAAAAAAAAAAAAAAAAAAAAAAAAAAAACACAAGTGAAGAGTGTGTGTGTTTGAACTTTGAAGAGTGTGAGAAGAAGATCGTATCTGGGAAAGAAACAAGTGAAGAAGATAACGCATGCCTACATGATCTTTCACGCTCACAACTTATATATATATATTTCAATTTTTTATTTTCT